GGGACAAAAATTTGAAAGGGTCATGTGAGGGGAGGGTGTGTGTGTGTGTGGGTGGGGTTCACTTTTCACTTGGTTTTAGAAACTAGAATAGAATCTTCGTGCCTCTCTCTGTAGAGAGAGAGAGAGAGAGATAGAGAGAGGTAGGTTTGTGAATGCCTTTTGGAGTTATTTTACTTGGGGGGTGATTGTGGTGGGCTCGGTAAGGATCTGTGTGAAGTTGCTGACAACTTGTAAAAGGGAGAGAGAGAGAGAGAAAGATGGTCCACAACAGTACTCCACAACTATGGAAATCTAGAAAAAGAAAGGCTTGACCCCAATCTCTTTCTCTCTGTCTCTGAAGTGCAATTAGACAGATTTTACTATTATACACTCAAAGAAGCTAAAAAGCTTTGTGACATGATTTTTTTTGCCTTTCATGAGAAGATTAAGAACTTATGGTGCATAATCATTCAGAACCTTCACATTTTGCAATTACTACACTCAGATGCCTATTATTGAAAGCAGTAAAATGGCTATATTTCCTCAAATATTTGTGTTGCTTGAATTGACTCGAGTCCATCGTACTATCTCCGTGGTCGATAAACAATTGTTGTACCTTTTTATACCAAGTTGGATCACATTACAACTACGATTCTCACTTAATCAGCTTTCTAGTAAGTGTATAACTTGATAAGCTATAATTTTTACCTCTCTCAATCTTTGAATGACTAGAACTAAACCCGTCCAAAGTATAATCATCGGAAACACATTGTTTATTGCTTATTTATTTTGTAAAGTTTTGTAGGATTACTATCAACTGCTCTAAAAAACTTAATTTGATAGATCAAGATCTATTTTTGTCTTTAAATATTTTGACTCCCTCACGTGTAGGTTGTACTTTTGCTCGCTGATACTAAAACGCGGAAATATATAATGGATGAGGCAAGTAAAGGGTCCGAAAAGATTTTACTCAAGATCTCCTGCTTTAATACCAATTGAAATTTTGTGAGACCATTATTGATTATTCTAAAAGTTTAAACTTATAGATGAAGATGTGATTTATTATTTTAAAAATTGTAATTGGCCCTTTGAAATGTAAATGAGAAACACTCAACAGGCCTGTACTTCACTTTTAGATTTGAATAAAACTTTGATGGCAACAATCAGATGCAGCTGAATTAGACAAACCAAATAACAATTTTTTTTCTTTTCCTAGTTACAATTAGCAAGTGGATATTTGGAACTTTTGCTTTATTCATTCACACAACTTCAAACAAATTTTTTTTCCTGGGAAATGAAGAAGTGTCCTCGTGGGAGCATCTGCACTAGTGTTTTGAGGGAGATAACATGGAAGAAAGTCCCAAATTTACATGAGAACATGTAACATGAACAGAAGGTTTTATGATTTAAAAATTAAAAGAAAAATCATATATATGGTTCTCTCAGAGGAAACGAACAAAATAAGAATCACGAGAATGGCAAACAAGGGTGATGAACAATAAACAGTACTGTCCCCTTGTCAGCCGCTGCACATTTGCGCAGAGCACAGGAGGGTAAGAAGGTGTGAACAAGAACAAAGGGAAGTAGAAGTTCAGAAGGTTTACATTAAAAATCACATAAAAGAGCAGAGCACAGTTTGAAGATACCTTTTATTTTTGTTTTAATAAGGCATATTTTAAAAAAAAATATGATAATGATATCACTTGTGTTATACTAATACCGTTTTTGGTAGCTATGTTCCATCTATTAATATGTTTTAACACCCCTTTGAAGAATTATCTATCTGAAAAACTTTGTTACGTGCAACCACGATGGACATAAACTATAAACTTTTTAAAAGAATATCATTTCGTATTTGGGAGAAGAGAGATATTACTTTCACGAGTAGAAGTTCCGATGCTAACACTCGAAAAGATTATTCACAAGCAAAAGCCCTCTTTTTTTTTTGGTTAAAACAAAAGCCCTCTTTTTAATTTCTCTTTATGCAAAAGTTTTTGTGGTTTACATTACAACTTAAAAGAAAACTAGGTCTATTTCCAGAGTCCCTAAATTTGATCAATCATGGTGTGTAATACCATGATTTTGGGAAGTGGAGATGCGTTGGCTTCTTGGATAAGATTCTCAAAAGCTTCTAAGAGAAGATCCACAATGCGTAGAAATATTCATCCCTAGTTTGAGGCAATCGATAAAATGATGAGTGAGAAATTATATGGTGTGGGGGTAATGGGGGCGCCTCAAACTTTATCCTAAAAATAATGAGCATCATAGAAATGATCATAATAATCAGATGAGTATCTATGCGAAATAATTAGTCATCATTTTCCTATTGTTTCACTTTCGGGCCTTTGTCTTCCGTCCCTACCCCCCTCCCCTCTTGTCACTTAGTAATCACCAATGAATCTTGTGTTTTCTCACTTTTATAGGATCCCTCACATAACCGCTCATTCCAATGAGAGTCTCCAGCAATATCATATTCTATTTATAGAAGTGAGAAAATAACTGGCCTACCTGTTGATTATCCTTTGCTCTTTCCTCTGTCTTTTTTTCCTTGCTTTTTAGGACTAATTCCATAGGCAAAGCACAATTTAGTCATAAAAGAGGTCATCATTTAATGTTAAAAGGCATTGAAAAAAACCATGCCTCTCCTTGAAATAAGGGGGGGAGGGAAAGGGAAAGGAGGCCCTAGGGCAGATAGATATCAAGAAAACCTCACACACCCTATTCGTTATATATAATAACAAAATATTTTCTTGGGGCGTTAAAAAGCAAAGTTCACATACACATTAGAAAAGCCGAGACATTTTTTAGATGTTAGGAAACTTTTGGGCCCAATAATGCAGTCACCTGATACAGATCAGCAAAAAAATTAGAACAGTCGAGTCGGCAAGAGCTAAAGTTGTTGCCTCAAAGAAGTCTACAGATTATAACCCACTATTTCCCAACAAAAAGAGAAAAAAAGATAACAGCCCACCAAAATATTGTAAGGAAAAACGGCAGAATAGACATAGAAAAGGAAAAGAGAAAGAAATAGAAGCTAGAGAGGTGAGGTAGCTGTTGTAAGTTAGTGAGTAAAAGTCAGTAGTGGCCAGAGAGCATGTGTTGTGTACACATGACGATATTGAAGTTCGGAATATTGTCTAGACAGAGAGAGAGAGAGAAGAAATAGAAGGAGAAGGAGAAGGAGAAGGAGAAGGAGAGAAGAAATGTCGTCACACAGAAGCAGGCTTTAAATCCCATCACGTAGTTCGATGTATCCTTTTCCTTATTATTTCAGACTGTTTGATCTAGTGAGTGTGTTGTGTTTCGTTGTAGAAAATGATGGGATTCGAAATTGGGAAGAGACTAGAGAGAGAGAGAAGATGGTTGATAGTATTAAAAGGACAAAGGCTAAGCTACAAATTCTGCAGAACAGGACACACATACACTGTGGTTTGGCGTGAAGTGAAGCTTCGTCTTATTTCTTTGTACCACTTAAATAAGTTAATCGATATCAGATTTCCATGTGAGGGTTGTTCGCATGGCATGACGAGATTGCCCTTTTGAGCTCCTTTCCAAACTGTCTCACTCCTAAGAAGTGGCTATGGAAGGACTCATGCACAACCTAGGTCACCGGCGACAATGCGAATATAACGCAAAATCAGAGTTTAAAATCACCCATGGAAATGGATAACTCAATTTAGCATGTGGGACATAAAAAAACCCTAAAGTTTGATGAATCATATCATTCGAGATACGAAAATGTGTCGTAAGAAGTTATTAATAGTCATTGGTAATGATTTGACGACCATGTTTAGCCAACGTATTATGAACACAACTTAATGGGTTTATATTATGAACAAAAAAGATGAGACTATCCAATTTGATCCCCTATCTATAGCTTCATACGAAAATGATAAGTAAACTGGGACTATACATTCGATCAAGCTAGGCAACAGATAGAATACTTCTGTTGAGCACTTTCATACCTTACTTAGAGCGCGTGGTCTTCTTTTTTCATTTTCACATATAATTAACAGATGACCGAACTTATTGATATAACTTAAATTCACTCCAACAAAATTATAAGACATAAAAATACTAGTAAAATCTTACACTACAGATCATTGAAACAAAGAATGTCTTCTTTCATCTTAAATTGATTTTGCTCTCGATGTGACGATTTCTCTTGTTCAAAGGAGGGAGATGGAAGTGGAAGAGACAAATTTCCCCGAATGGAGCCTAGGGTACACCATAGTCCCTGTGATTGATTTTAAGTGCGTATGCGCGGGATCCATGTCAGAGCCTAGAGAGAGAGAGAGAGAGAGAGAGAGAGAGAGTCACGGGTTTGTCTTGAAATGCCCTTAATACACAGTCCTAGAGAGACAGCCAGACACATATTCCCTTCTCTCTCTCCTCAACCGAGGAGTTAAATCCCTACATAAATAATAATATCGCCTACTTGTTTTCTTGCTTTCTCCCCATTAACCTTGAAAGGATAGCCCCCCAACCCGAAAATAATAAGTCAAAACTAGGATTACTCTAGAAATAATGTTGCTGTCACTTGCATGAACAGTGAAGACTACAGCATACTGTGTCCAATTTTCATGTTAAACAACCGCAAATGCAGCTTGACTTGAACTGCTTGATTTGAAGTTGCTTGAATGAAAAATGAAATCCATGACTAAAGTCCATACTAATGCTAGGAGACATAAAAACTGACCACTTAAAGTTATGGTCTATAAAAAGCAATTAATGAGAAGTTTACAGAGTATTGGCTATCGTGAGTTATTTTTTGTGTGTAGTACGAAAATATTTGTGCTCGAAATAGAACTTTTTCTTTACCGTTGATGGATCTAAAGATGACATCCCAATGGATTTATCAAATGGGTCTGTAAGATAACATAGGTATAAACAAATTGAGTGTTTGAATGGGACTAATTATATGTGGTATTTACTTTGCAGCGCCTCCTTGTCTGACCTCATTTTTTTCTTCTTTATACTCTCTCTCTCTCTCTCTCTCTCTCTCTCTCTCTCTCTCTCTCTCTCTCCCTATTTTTATCTTCCGAAAGTCACACTCACTATCATCCTCCCTCCTCTCCTGCACTTCCCCCAAACAAAATCCTCTCCCTTCTCTCTATCTTTCTTCCCCCATTTTTGATCTTCCAAAGTCACTCTCTCAATATCATCACCCTCCCTCCTCCTCCTCCTCCTCCTCCTCCACCTCCCCCGACCAAAGCAAACCGAGTCTCTTTCTCTCTCTCTCTTAAAGGAGAAGAAGAAAGAAGGGTTGGTGATAGAGGATATAGACTAAGAAGGGATGGCGCAGCTTATGGTGGACAAGTGCGGGGAGGGCTTGCTGGTGGCGGTGGAGGCACAGAAGGCAGTTCCGGCGCCGTTCCTGACGAAGACATACCAGCTGGTGGACGACCCCGCCACCGACCACATCGTGTCGTGGGGCGACGACGACTCCACCTTCGTCGTGTGGCGTCCCCCCGAGTTCGCCCGCGACCTCCTCCCCAACTACTTCAAGCACAACAACTTCTCCAGCTTCGTCCGCCAGCTCAACACCTACGTATGTTTCTGTCTTTGCCATGTCCCTGCACTCCTGTGTTTACTGATGATCAACTTAAGCAATTCTCAAACCAAACAATCTTTGTTACCTCAAATGTTCTTGATAAAGACCACCGCTGTTTCATATCAGATTGGCAATGCAAGACTTCATTACCCAAGTTCACTGAGCAATTTCTCGACATGGGTTTTTGTTGCACTTGCAAACTGGGCAGTTTCTTGACATGGGTTTTTGTTGCAGTCACCTGGGTCTTCTTCTTCTTTGTTGCTTTTTTTCAGTTCTTACATCTCTCTTTCTGTCTGTGAAAGAGACAAATTCGTGCAAGTTCTCTCTCTCTCTCTCTCTCTCTCTCTCTCTCTCTCTCTCTCTCTCTCTCTCTCTCTCTCTCTCATTCTAAAACCCTGGAATTGTGAAACCGGATTCAATCAGTAGTCCTTTTGTTAGGGTTTTATTACGATTTAGCTGCCACATTCAGTGGTGTCTTATTTCTATAGCTGATTTTTGTTGCCTCTTGTTGGACTCTTTGATGTACTAGGGTTTTAGGAAGATAGTACCAGACAGGTGGGAATTCGCCAACGAGTTCTTCAGGAAGGGCGAGAAGCATTTGCTCTGCGAGATTCACCGCCGCAAGACCGCCCAACCCCAACTCACCCACCACCACCCGCACTCCGCCTCCCCGCTTGGCGTCCCCACCTCGGGCTTCTTCCCTTTCCCAAGCCGCCTCAGCATCTCTCCCTCCGACTCCGACGACCAGCATTCCCCCCACTGGTGCGACTCGCCGCCCCCTCCCCCTCCACCACCGCTCTCTTCTCCCCGAAACGGCTGTGGCGGCCACAACAACAGCGTGGGGCTTGTCGCGAGCGCCGCCAATTGCGGCAGCTCCGCCGTCACTGCCCTATCCGAGGACAACGAGAGGCTGCGGAGGAGCAACAACATGCTCATGTCCGAGCTCGCGCACATGAAGAAGCTCTACAACGACATCATCTACTTCGTCCAGAACCACGTGAAGCCTGTCGCTCCCAGCACTTACTCGTGGTCGCAGCCTTCTCTGGTGCAAAAACCCTCGAACCAGCTCCTTGGTTACAATAATTACGCCAATGCCATTGCGGCTCCCAACAATAATAATTGTGTCGTCAGCAATCACGTCAAGCCGGTCGTCCGCAGTAGCAGCAACGTAACACAGAGCTCTCTAACTATTCTTGAAGATCCGCCGGTCATGAACAAGATGAAGCTCTTCGGCGTGCCACTTCTGTCGAAGAAGCGGCTGCGCCCGGAGTACAACTCGAGTCCGGTGGGTTACATGGAGACCAACAAGGCTCGTTTGGTGTTGGAGAAGGACGACTTAGGGTTGAATCTTATGCCTCCTTCAACTTGTTAAGGTTCTTGCCGATGATTATGATGATGATGATCAGTTTTTCGTGCATTATTTGAAGAAGCTGAGGCCGAGGTTTCTTGTCTTTTCCTTTTCCTTTAGTTTATTTTTGAAGAGGTTTTCTTTTCTCTTTTTTTTTTCCCCTTTTTTTCGCTTTAATTATCTTCTTGCCCTCAGAGTCTGATATATATTGATGAGAGTTATGTGTGTGCGTGCGTTATGGGTGTTTGTGATCTGTACATATCTTTTTCCCCTCCTAACCATTTAATACAGGTGGGCTATATCTTGATTAGAGTGATATCATCAAAAGCTTTAAGTCCAAACTTAACTTTCAGCATCATTGATCTTTTGCTTGCATCCATGGTCTCTCCTGTCATTCATCTATCCTTATTGATTAATTCTCTCCTTCTGACTTTGATGCCTGGATGTTCAGTTACATAAATGAGAGAGAGCGAGAGAGAGAGAGAGAGGTCATTGATAGCTATGGCTTCAGTTCCTTTGATAAAAAAAGGCTGAAGAGAGTCACAGTTGACAGAGGCTGTCTTTCATTGTTGACGATTTCCTTTTGGGCTCTAGGGCTTTCTCTTGCTTCTAGTCCCATTAATGGGGTGATACGTACACGACACTGACTCTGGAGGGTGAAAATGTTTTCCTTGATTTCTATACGGAAACTGCTCAAGAAAGAGAAAACACAGTACCACCAACCAGACACAAAAGAATGATGATTCGAACCTCAAATTCTCACTGGAAATTCGTTAAAAGAGAAAAAAAAATTGCAACATGATATAACCCATCGTTTAATCTTCAAAAAAAAAAAGTGTGGCTGCTATGATTACGAAAAGAAAGGTTATCATGTCACTTGATGAAGTTATTATGATTGTTGATGCTCTTTTTTCTCTTTGTTTTTTTCGAGCTTTTGCATTTCTTGTTTTCCATGAACTGTCAGTCAAGGGGAGGGCAGAAGGAAAACACAGGCTACTTCAGAGGGTGGGTTATTTGATGAAAGCGACATATGGGGAAAAAAACACTGAGTAAAGAAAAAAAAAGATATGAAGGTTTTGAGATGTACACATCAAGAGGGGCTTCCATACTTCTTCTTCTTCAGAGGAAAAAACCTCTGCTTTTTCCTACTTTAAGTATCTCATCGATGTCTTCAAAAACTCTCTCTGGATCCATCTCTCTCTCTCTCCCTCTCTCTCGTCTTACCCTTTTCTTTTCTCTCATTTCAACGTCTCTTTCCCTGCTTCTAGATAAAAGCCTGGAGAGAGAGAGAGAGAGATTTTTTTTTTTTTGAGAGACAGAGAGAGCTTGACTGGTAGATAATAAGAAAGAAACTGTGACATGCTTTCCAAGTTTTGCCACAGGAAAATCCACCACTCTCCAATGGCTTTTCTTTCCATTTTCTACTAAAATCCTAACACAAGTAAAGTTTGACCGGGAGTTTTGATTTCTTCTGTTGTTCTTTCCTACTTAATGATCTGCCCCCTGCTTGCTCGTGCATGTCCATAAATGCAATTAATAAACATTACAAGAAAGGAAAGCTCTGTGAGGCAGCGATGCCAGCAAGCAAGAAAGAATGTCTGTTCAAGTAAAGTTGCTATACGAAGAGAGATAAAGTACCTGGGAATAGAGTGATAGATATATTGGGAGGATATTTTTGAATCCATTCAAATAAAACAGGTAAAATTAATTGAATTTTTACATTGAATTTGATAAGTATATGCTCATCACTTAAAGCATTTTTTGTACACTATGATCCCGGTCAAAAAGAGTATGTAAATATATTATCGTATCCATTTAACTTATGCGAAATATCATTAAATCAGACAAAATTTTCGCTTGCTGTGTGATAGATGACGAAAATTCTGCCTACCCTAAGAATGAGAGCACTGAGCATGGTAATACTAAAATCGTATTGTCTCATCTCTCTTTCATTGTATTGCAAAAGATTTTTTACCCTCTCTTGCCAAAAGAACCATAACCCTTGTTCAACATCCACACCATGTACTGTACACCATTCTATCAATGTCCATTGTTTGTCTTTTTCTTGGGTATCGCACGTGATCAGCCAAATGCACGTGCAGTGTAGATATAAACGTCTACACACTCTCCTATTCAAAGTCTATAAGAGAATGAACAAGATAAAAGCAACAATTTGATGGGCTTCAAAAGTTGGGATACGGATCATAAGGTAAAGAGCAAACAAAGATGCTTTAGAGAGGGATCTGTAATGGACCAACCCAGAGATGCAGATCTGTGGGTTTTGAAAGTTTTGGGAAAGGCAAAAGAGATGTTTTCTTCTGCGTTTTGAGAGTCTTTTGAAAGCGCATTGCCCAAATGGATATTTCCCATCAGCATTTTCCTTCTGGTTTGATCAACTTTATCGACAAAGTCAAAAGAAATGGTTATTCTGAAAGATCTTGGTAAAGATGGGGAGCGCGGCCTTGATATAAAGAGTGCTTGCGACCATTTAAAGTTTGTCGCATGATAATTGGAGGTATATATTTGATGGCTCGTGTGTATGCCTAATTAATCAGCCCGAGACGTAAAAGTAATTGGGGTGTATGAAGACGGTTTAAATTTTACAGCTCAAATATTACAACCCGATAGGACAGCTTATCTAATATGGATTTTGTTAAAGGGTTTTTTCGGGGCACTTGCTAAGTAACCAAATGAGGGATCAATGTAATTCGCCGGCCCCTTGGGAGGGTCGCCCTCGCGAGATCCGGCGAGGGAGACCCTTGCCCAAGTGAGGGCGTCGAGGCCCTCACCAGTGGCTGGCGAGCGACCTCCACTGGCCATTGCCGAGGTCCGGTGGAGAGAAAAAGAAAAGAAAAGCAAAGGAAAAAAGGAAAAAATTAGAAATTATTCGGAAAATTGCGAAAATTGTCAATATCAACACTAGTGATGCCATGTAGGACGGCCAACACTAACTAGACCGCCACCTCAGTGATTTCCGTCAAAATTGGCAAATCGTTAAAAAGTTAAGACTACGTTGGCAAATCGTCCGAAGGTTTACAACTAAATTGGCACAATTAAAAGGTTTATGACTAAATTGGTAAATTGTCAAAGGATTTAGGATTAAATTGGCACAATTAAAATGTTTAGAATTGAATTAGCTGACGTACTTTCCCGTATGAAAAATAAACATTTCCTCGTTAAGCAAGCTTCATAGGTGTCCTAGAAGCACTTTTCAAGAAGCTGATATATTGAAGTCACAAGTTATGGTTGGTCTTAACGAGTGAGTTGATGGGTGATGGGAGGACCCATGAGATGTTTGGGCCTCTTAGCTCCTTATCCCATTTCACAACTGTTCAAGCTTGTAATGGACAATCATTTTGTCGAAAAGTGAGTAATTTGCTGCCCACGCCAATAATAGTGGCGCACTGCAGGTGCTGGCGACACTGAAGTGCTCAATGTAATGTTTATTAACACCCACCGGCGGGGTAAAAAAGCTTTCACACAAAAGGTGTTATTAAATAGCAATTTGAGGATTTTAATAACCCACATGCCGATTATTTTGCTATGTTACCCGGGTTTTGTTCTAGTATATTTCGCACGTGCAGCCCTCTGTTCATTAAATTTCACGTGTCATTCATAATCCTGTTTGCACTTGAAAGGGGGTGTCAAAGTATCCCACATCCCTTGACTACGGGGTTTATATGTTCTTTATATACATTTGGTTTCCTTTCACCTGTCATATTAAAATTTTGGATTGAACATTCTAACAAAATTAAGGGTGAATGGGGCCGTTCGTGTAAATTTTTCATTATCTGTTTTTCGTTTTATTAATTACATGTTCTGGTCTTTAGTTACATGTCAGCAATGTAACACAGTGGATAAAATGAAGTGTCCAACGTTAGATCCTTGTCCTCTAGAGTGAAAAGGAGGACATTGCTTTGCTCTTCTTAACATTCTCCTTATCAGGCTGCAAATATATGCAAATTTCTCCTTGTGTGTGTCATTTTCGAATTTCATGAGAATCATTGGCCAGAGCTGATGGGGTAGGATGTGTAGCTTTTGCACCTTGACGTAGATCTTTCAAAATATTGTTCAAGGATCTCCAATTCAGAATAAATTCCTCTGCTAAACATTTTGATTTCACTTCACTGCCTTTGAATTAGAGTGAGTCAGTTTTATATCAACAATAATCGAGTATCAGAAGGAATTATCTACGATGGACTAAAGAACTGTGACTAACCAGTTGAGCCAACTTGTTGACACCAAAAAATGAGTTGATCATTGATCGTTGACTCAGACTAAATTACATTGAGCAAGATGCGGTGAAAGAAAGATTGGCTAAGTGTTAATAAGGATAGTCGGCAACATTAGTTGAACCGATTACAAAACCCATTTGGCCGACAAAGATATAAATGAAATTGGCTAAGTCTAAGATTAAACATCAACAAGTGAAGATACATTCAAGTGACAGCAAGCCACGATTGATATAATTGTTAGGAAGATGAAGTAACCATTTAGATGGTGAGTCCGACAACTCCAAACGCAACCGTCGGAGAGATATTCGCAAAGGGAGAAATTTACATAAATGTCAAGTAGTTGAGCCAAGAAAATCACAGAGACAAGAAGCTCAGGAGCAGTTGATGTGAAGAAATGGAGAAGATATAATCGTCGTAGTGGTGGAAGCGACATGATCGGTGAAGTAGTGGGAGCATAACTGTCGGATGGTGGAGTTGGTTACTTGTGAATAACTGTTTGCACATAGAAGTCACTGAATTGTAGGATGCATGAGGGTTGTGTTTAATTTCTCTTTGAACGGTTGTTAACTGTCGTCAGTAGTATAAATACTTGAATAGAACATCGGTTGTTTGATTTTATCTTCCTATTCACCTTTACCTTTTCAAGAATTTTACATGGCTGGATGCGATTGCCTTCAATCTTAGTACTTTTAATTCTTATATTTCACATTTCTTGTCCAAGAATCAAAAAAGGATCCTTCACAACCTTCGCCAATTTACTCATTGATCCATAGTTCGAAATGTATTTCGTCGACACTCTTCGGCGAGGATGACCAATCTACCATTGAACATATTGGTCGATTTGTGGTCCAATGCGAAGAAGCAAGTAGAAATGATTTTTTAAGGCTATGATTGTTTCCTTTGTCTTTGTCAAAAACCGCGTTTATGATTGTTTCCTTTGTCTTTGTCAAAAACCGCGTTTACTTGGTATACCCGCCACCAAACTCGGTATATAATTGGGCAGAGATGGAAAAACAGTTCTGTTGGAACTAACTATGCAACCTAAAGGGGGGGTGAATAGGTTGCTTTGGAAGATTTTTGAAACTTTTGCAGAAAACAACGTGTAA